GCTCTGGCCTTTCCTGAGCTCCCTTCTCTCTTTCCCCTGGCTGCAGCCTGGGAAAAGCAGCACTTTGCCCTGATGCTGCCCAAGAAATTCCCCAGCTGAGCAGCTCCGTTCTCCCGGAGCTCGGGCCTGTCGTGCTTGGGTGGTGGTTTTCCCACAGCAGTAAGTTGCCACTCTCATATCATTCCAGCATCGCAGGCCCTAGGGCGGCATTGTATCCTACAGTCACTCACTGATCCTAACGCTGTTGACTAAAGACCGTGTTTCAAGGTAATATAAACAGTTTGCTCTTAAAATACATTTGATCTATAATTTCTATACATCATTTCTGAACTTTTATTTTAAAACAATTAGCCAAAGAGCCCTTTTCATGTGATACTTGCAGGGAGCCTGACAGTAACAGCAATTAAACCCCATCTGTTTGCAGAGCATGAATAATAGCGGTTGACACTCAACTTGGGATACCGCTCACGGGAAACCTATTCAACACAAACCTCGTCAGGCAAATGGGCTGGCACCGAGTCCCGGCAAAGGCGGTGGTGCCGAGGCTCCTGCCGCTGGGCACGGGTGTTTCAGAGGGACTTGACCTTGCCACGTGCCTATGGATGACCAAAGACGCTTGAAGCGCAAAGAAAACTACACCCGAGCAGCAGCCTCTTATGCTTATTTTGCTTTTCCTTAGTTTTTTTTTCTTTTATTAATAAAAGCTTCATTAACAAGCAGCGACAGAAATTCACGCCGGGGAACTGACTATTCCAAGGAGCCAAGTCATCAATTAAAACAACATTTCTCTCTGTTCTTTCCCTTTCAAACCCTCGGTTCAATCACCAAAAAGTAGAGTCGAAAGGGCCCCAGCAAGGAGGAATGATACCGTGGCACCGATTACGCCATCAGCCCGGTCCTGCCCCGGCGAGGCGGCGGATCCCACCGGCACGGTGGGGATCGGCGATGCCATGGCATCACAGAGCCAGCCAGCGGCTCGGGGACGTGGGGACCGGGGACGCTGGATGGCGATGGGATCAGGCTCAGCACGAGTCGGGAAACCTGCCCTGGCACTCCGGCATCTCCCAATACGAGGATCCCTCCTGTCTGCAGGATACCCGAAAGTGGATTTTTTTTTTCCCTGCTAGCATCAATTAACCCACTAAAAAGCATTCCCTGCCCCTACAAGATTTTTCTCCTCGCTGGCCAGAGCTGGCACTGCTGGGATGCTGAAAGCGCCTGGATCGCAAGTGCTCTGCAAAAGCGTCCCCGGCGTGTCCGTACGCTGCTTCGCCCAGCAGCTGAGGGCAGAAATAACAGCAGCCGGCACTTAACAGCTGCTCTCTATTATTTTTAATAAATCCAAACATTTTGGATAAGCTTGACACCCATATCACATGCTGTATAAACATGCTACAGGGTAAAAGTTTGCTTCAGAGCACGTCCATCGGTGTCCCTTTGGGATGGGGACCGGGACAGTCGCTGGGGCAGGGTGCGGGGCCATGTGCGTGGGCGAGGGCCCGGCCCCCCGCAGCTCCCTTCCCAGCCTCTAATCGTGCAAAAATCTTGTAACTTTTAAGGTTAATAAAGCCCTTGTTTGCTTAAGATAGCACCTGTTTCTATGGTGACACTTGCAACCCAGAGCCTGTTTATCAGCCGGCAAGGAGAAACGCTCTGACAAACGCAACCGCAGCAGCAGGCACCATGGCGGTAGAAGGTGGTGGAGACGGTGTCTGATGAAGCACTGCCAAGTTTCAGGGGCGGCTTCGCCCGCGGCCCCCCCCCCCCCCCCCCCCCCCGCCGGCCCCGCGCCCGTGGGTTCCCCATCCCGCTCTGCAAAGCCACGGGAGCGACCGTGGCCGCAGGTGGGCTGCACCCCAGCGCACCCACTGTGGGCAGAAAACATTGAACGTGACGGGCGATGGGGCGGGAACGGCTCTCCTTCAAACAGATTTGACGCTTTTCCCCTGTCTGACCCCGGCCTGGTCTCTGACCAGCTCCGTGCCTCAGTTTCCCCAATGCCCCTGCCCGGGAAAGGGGTTGGCGGAGCGAGCCGAGCCGTGCCGGGCGGCAGCAGCACCCGGTGGGTCCCGCTCGGCTCCAGCCTGGCGCAGGATTTCTCCCGGCTGGCATAACTGGTTTCCATAACGACTTTCTGTTACAAACATATTTTGATAAAAATAAAGTTAAAGCAGCGAGGCTTTAGTGGAGTACAAATTTGCTGCTCTCTCCCTCCCCCTTCCTCCTCCCCAAGGAGGGGGAATAAAGACAGAAAGCTTTCCATTTGAAGGGCAGTATTTTCTCCCTTCTTTTTCTTTCCCCCGCTGAATACAAAATGGAAAGCCTTGTTTACTGGATTTCTCTGTAAACTGGTTCCGACTCTGCCTGGTTACCTGATGCTCTACAGTATATACAGGATAATGTGATACATTCATTTCCAATTCACTGCATTATCCTTTGAATATTTTAATGACTCATTGAATGGAGTAAAAAAAAAAAAAAAAGCTATTTCAAATGAACAATTATGCTGCATTAGAGTAAAGGCTGATTATATTTAAACACTGCTTGCATGGATAACGGGACATATCGACCTCCGCCTATAAGAGCTAATTTGGCTCTTATCTCTAAATAATTTTACACTGCAAATTACCATGAAAACCTAAAGGGCTTTAAAAACATTCATCAAAAGATATTATTCCACTTTGTAGCAACATTTTTATTTAAATTATTTTGAATGGGAGTGAAAGCATCTCTCGTGTTTGACAATCGGAGGGAGCGGCGGAGCAGCGGCTGATAAGGAACGGCGAGCGGCACCGCCGGGGATGGGATGCTCCATCCCGAAACCCACCTGGGAAAGCAAATTCAGAGCCGAATCCCAAACTTGGTGGCGTGCCAAGGTACTGCAGCACCTAGAATGGCATTTAGCGTGCCGGAGCCTCTTCCCTCCAAACCCCGGGGATGGCAAAGCGATGCTGGGGTGATGCTGGGGCGATGCTGGGGTGATGCCGGGGCGATGCTGGGGTGATGCCGGGGCACGGGGGCTTTCGCAGCCCCCCAGCCATCGTGCCAACCACCCTGTCCCTCCTGGAGAAAGGCACTTGAAAGCCCCTCTCTGCACCAAAGCAACAGAAGGTGTCATGTAAAGCCTACACGGTTATTTTAGAGCCAGTGTGCAAATAAGCCTGTCAGCTGAAGCTCCTCGGAGCCAAGACTTCCATATACCCCCCAACGATCTGCATTTCAACGAGACACCATGTGTCTGAGCCCGGGGAGCCGCCGGCTTCGCAGAAGCGATTTGGGGCTGGTGCTTTGGGAAAGCTCCGGCTGCGGCCCCGGAGTGGGGGGCGGGGAGATGTTG